GCATATAATTGTACTTATTACTTAGATGAACGTATCAATTATCTATAGTATCCTTCGACGGATATCCCTAGAAGGGACATTCAACGGATGTCCCTAAAGAACAATTCAAATGTTATACGATACTGGATGGAATGTACATCAGTCTGGGACATTTCATGGTTGTTCAGAAGGGATATTATATAAGGTCTAAAGTCATGCCAGAATATATGTGCTACTTGGGACATCCGATTAATGACTCTTGACTATTTCTTGTGGGTCAATTTGAAAACAATGTTTTATAAAAGTCTGCCAGAAAATATTGATGAATCGATATCGAAGAATACAATACGAGTGTGTTTATCACACACGTTATCAGGCAATAAAAATTCATTCATATTATAAAACGATGTATCTGCTAGAAATAGTTGATGTCTTCTTTTGAAGAGTATTAGGGAGTCACAAGACCATATCTGTTTTGGTAGAGTAATAAACAATTTTGGGCCGAATATATTTGAAGAACATAAAGAAATATTCAACCACGTCTTTTTTATTCTGATGTCACTTTTATGTCTCGTATTATGTTCGTGTACATCCATGTGAAATTTATGTGTGTTATAATGCCAATTGAATTCAGTGAAATCATGTTATGCTATGAACTTGTATTTCAGGAGAAATAGGAAAGATAATGGAGTGAATTCGAAAAATTTCGAAAAAAGATAAGGCTTAACTGTTGCATAGGGTACCTATTACAAGTTTCATGGAAAAAAACACGCTATAATTGCTACACCCGGTATTCATGGAAATGGGGTTCTTATGCGAATACAATTTACAGTTTTGCACACCGCAATGTTCAGTATATCGAAAATATTGGGCCAATATGGGGCCAATACCCAGCCAAGATTATGTGCTACTGGAGTATAGTTTTGACGATTTTTTTATCCGGAAATTATTGTATAATCAACGCAGAGCAGGAGTTATTCAGGCTGAAAAGTTTTGAAATGAGAGCCGTGTATAAGTCATGAATTGGATGATAGAGTTTGGCCCACTTACCTGTTCCATGAGGAAATGTTGATAATGACAATCAAGGATTTTGTGCACGGTGGCAAAGGCAAATACGAGTAGCGAACTTTGACCGAAAACTAATTTAAATAAAGCCATTCATATATCGTATAGAGCCATATTCGGTTACTTCCTGTGATAAATAGATCTATTGTCGTTTATTAAATTAGAGATATGCGGATAACTATAGTGTCATTGATACATTTTTTTTAGCAGTCGAACATATGCAGCAAATGTTATCTTTCATATATTATCTCCCCACATGTTCGAAAATGTGTAATTATTATTTGAATTTTTTCCAATCGAATTTCAACCCTATTAAGGACCAATCCTTCGATCTTGGCAGAGTAGAACCTGCTAATAGTTAGCTTGAAACATGCCACGTTTGTGCAAGTGACGTTGTTTTTATGACGTTAAAATCACGACAGCTACATGAACCATCATGAACGAGTTCATACGTAATCAATAGGAATACCCATCAGTCATTACCAGACGTCTTATACTCTAGAAGACATACGACATATTGTATGTTAGGCCTGAATTACGCCTTACATTGTATAAAAGACATATCTTAGATACGTACAATATCGTACATCTATAAGTACGTCTTTAAGACTTACATTTGAGCTTCGAGTAACGACTTTCCGTATACCTACCTAGGCATATAATAAAAACGTCTTAGGGTCGGCTGCATTGAGCTCTGTTAACTTAACGAGGAATATACTATTCTGTTCTTTCAGCTGATGAAGGTATACGTTGCCATCAGCCATGAGCAACAACATCGCAGGAGAAAGCAAATATTTTTGCAGAGATGTTTGCAGCAAACTCTACTTCAGATTCCCAAGGAGAAGTGCCGCCAGACATTCCACCCGTTGAGAGTCGAATGCTCGAAATCGTCTTCCGTCAACGCACTATCAAACGAATTTTGCTTGGTCTCAAAACGAATAAGGCTAACGGTCCTGATGGAACCACCCATTATCCTCAAGAAATGTGCACCAGAATTAACACCGATTCTCTGCAAGTTGTTTACCGTCTCGTACAGGTCGGGTATTTTTCCATCATGCTGAAAGACAGCTAGAGTCCAACCAGTCCCCAAAAAAAGGGAACAAGAACCTGCCCAACAACTACAGGCCCATTGCCCTGTTATCAGTAATCTCCAAAGTGATGGAGAAAGCCATCAATATTGAGCTCATCAAATATCTGGAGAGCTCAGGAATCATCAATGATAGACAATACGGCTTTCGCCACCGAAGATCTACTGGAGATCTACTTGCCTACGTCACCCATTCATGGCAAGCTTCATTAGAAAAACACGGGGAATCTCTAGCTATTAATTGTGTTGGACATATATCGAAAGCATTCGACCGTGTTTGGCACGAAGGACTCCTCCACAAACTACCATCATATGGCTTACCACCTCAGCTATGCCATCTCTTATCGAGTTTTCTTTCAGGCAGATCGCTTCATGTGGTGGTGGACGGTGTATCGTCGGATAGAATTGGCATCAATTCCGGCGTTCCACAAGGATCAATTTTGGCACCAACATTATTCCTTCTTCATATCAATGATCTGTTGGGAGTAACAACTTGCCCCATCCACAGCTTTGCCGACGATAGTACCCTCCATACTGCGTTCTCTTCCAGAATTCCCATTTCTTCTCAGGAAACTAAGAATTCACGGCGCAGGCAGGTCAATGCTGTCAATGAAGACCTTGCTGAAATCACAGCCTGGGGAACCAACAACCTAGTTGAATTCAACGCCACCGAAACTCAAGCCTGTATTATCTCTATAGAAAGGCGGAACTCAGTATGCCCGATATTGTAATGCTGGCACCACCATCCTCACCGAGCCCACCATATCTATGCTCGGTATTTCCATCAGCAACACTCTTCCATGGGATAATCATGTCAGATCCATCGCAAAAGCTGCTTCACAAGAACTCGGATTCTTGTTCCGTGCGAAAAGCTACTTTACACCTCAACAGCTTTCATGATCTACAAAGCGCAGATACGGCCTGTTCTAGGATACTGTTCCCACATATGGGGTTCAGCACCAAAACATACGCTGATGCTCTTAGATTCCATCCAGAGAAGAGCCATTCGCCTGGTGGGCGACGCTACACTCACTCACTCTCTGACATCATTGGAACACCGTAGAAAGGTCGGCGACCTTTCACTTTTCTATCGATACTTCCACGGGAAATGTTCTTCGGAAATCTCTGCTATCATCCCTTCACTAGCAATACCAGTCAGACGAACTAGACAAGCCCAGTCAGCACATCCTTTCGTTGTCAACCTCGAAAGATGTCGAACAGCACTTTATCAAAACTCCTTCATCCATAGAACGGCTAATAGGCTCTGGAATTCATTGCCTGTGGAAGTATTCCCAACAACATATAATCTGCAAAAGTTCAAAAAAATTTCCAATACCTACCTCCTGTCCCTATCCTCTCTAGGAACGCACGATGTTCTTTGAACATTTTAGGGATTCCCTTTCGTGCGCTCCAAGCGATAAAAAAAATTCTATATTTTTTAAATTTTTTTCGGTTTTAAGGTGAAAAAATTATCAATAATGCCACGGTAATTCTCAAACGGCTAGAAATTTGCCGCGATTAAAAACTGACTTCGATTTAGTAAGTAGGGGCAGACCACAGCACAGTTGCCATAAGTCAAAATACGATCGGGAACTTCAGAAATATTAGTTATTCATTAATCCATAAATTCTCAATTATGTATTGGTAATATTCCAAATAAGCATTAAAAAATCAATTGTTCCAAAATGTTTCCTCATATGTGTTGTGGCTTATTGCTTATGCTTATAATACATGCACGTAAATAATAATATTAATTCACACTATAGGACATTCGAACCAGTAAACGCTCGGGTAAACGTGACAACGCGACGCACCACGAATTGTGGGCGTGGTCTTGTCAGTTCTCAGCATTCAGCCCAATGTTGCCAAGTCTGCAACCTTTACATGATATTTCGTTATGGAGTATAAGAGATATTTGGACATACTGGTTGCTGGAGAAAGTCAAGAAATAACTATAATATCATGGGTTCCTCCTATTATCTTTTATTCAACTACATGACCCTAACATCTTTTTGATAACTTGATTATAATTGGTGACTTGGCAATCTTGCTTCATGAGTGGGGATGAAAGATTATCTGACCAACAACGAAACAGCATAAAACTGACGTCACGATTTATTCGGCGTATCGCCAAATGGCAGCCATGACGATAAGTTTTAAAAAGATCTGAAAGTCAACAATTTCTAACAACACACAGACTTATTATTTACATAAAAGTGTGAAAAGTGTTGCAAATATTAATTTAGGTCCCTATAGCGACACCAGTGGAGTAATTGAATACTAACTATTCGCCCATTCTACACGTATTCGAGTGTGGCGCAGTCAAATATATCTTCATACAGAGTGGGCCTTTGAAAACGAAACAGAGGCTCTGTAGGTCGCCAAAACCGGATCAGAATTCTGAATCTTGAACCACCCTGTATTTGTTTCAAATAAAATGTCAGTAGATAGTAAATCACAAGTTGAGATCGGGACATGAGAGCCGTTTTGACCAACAATGAATAGTTTCGACACAAAAAAATGTTAAAGTTGAAAAATCTCGATTTTGAACACTTTATATCCCTGAAACCATTACAGCTAGACCCTAAGTGTGATGCATTGATGAAATCAGCTCTTCGGGAAGAATCTAAAAATGCAATAAAATACAAGGTGTTCCATTTGAAATAACAAAGTTGTTGCTTCTTTTCTTTAGAAGCGGCAACGCCGCAGGGCTGAAAATATTTTAGAAAGATGTCCCCCTCGAAAATGTAGTTGACCTGTTTCAGTTTTTTTTGATAATCCGGTTTTGGCGACCTACAGAGCCTCTGTTTCGTTTTCAAAGGCCCACTCTGTATATGTATAAATGGAATAGAAAATAAAATACCAACTAAATATGTCAGAGGAAGTTTTATTTTCAAGAGATCTAAATTCATGCTGCTTCTTGAAACATGTAAAGTTTTCTAATAATAAATTAAATATCATTGAAATTAGGTATTAAATTAATATGGCAAGAATCATGAAAGCATCATTTGTCACCCTAACATTATACAATTTTCGAGAGCAGGCAATCTTTATTTCTAGATTCACATGACAATATGAAACAATCACATTATATCTTATAAAAAATATTATCTGTAATATAATGCTAAAAACAATGTACTACACCAGAATCTACAGCATTTCACATTCACTTATCATAAATATAACTGAAATAAAGGAACAATTGCATGAAAAATTAGCAGATAGCATTAGAAATTGTCATTCTATTTTATTATTTCTGTATTCAACTGTTGTGGCTATTGCTCTTACTTTAACTATAGATAGGGTGTCTGAAAATTATCAGCAAATAAATCGAGTGGTGGTCCTACTTTTAGAATTAATGCAGCAAGTTTGTATAACATTTTTTCGAATCACCACTGTTCCTTTCTATTCTCCATCCAAATTTGGAGAGAATCGAACTTTGAAGCTGCGTAATTCTATTACTTTCAAGGTTTCGGAACAATTATATAATGAGAGCTCGTTGCACTGATTTTGAAAGCAAAATCACGTATCCAGTCATTTTCTCATTATCTTCGATACCCAGATGTATATATTCGATATATCATTTCAACGGCAGGAAATAAAATTTGGTTATGAAAAAATCAACAATTACATCTATTTTTCATACTCCAAGCTGCATTAATCTGGAATGCATTCTCAAACATATTTCCGTAAGAGCTACCAGTTCGTAGGTGAATGAATTTTGTTAAAAATGTTTATATGATCGAATCCAAACACTTATGCCCTCCATATTGAAATAGAAAATAACATGAAATATACATTGCAGGAAAAATATATCCACGAATACATTACATTTATATACTTTCGTATTCTTCTGAAACCGTCAATATCACATCTTTCCGGTTTTCAAAACACATGATATAAATATTCATGAACACACCAAGAAAAATGAGGTGAACTAGGAGCAATTGACTTGCTTTGTGGTGTAGATTCTGATAAGTTGATGAAAGTGGTATTTTTTACTTGAACTGATCCAACAAAAAGCTACTTTTGAGACTATTAAAAGATATATTACTGATGGTGTGAAGATACTATGAAGAAGTTCAACCTCAATTTCCTTGCTGTGTTGCATATTCACATTAGTTATACTCAACAAAAGGATTCATTGCAGGCTACAAAACGAGCGTTTTATTCAATATACAGGGTGATTTTTTTGTTCTTTTGATACGTGAAGGAAATCTCTATACTAAATCCCCATCGAACAATCAGTAAATACAATATGGCCAATCTCTCAGGAAAACTAGACGCAAAAATAGATAGTTATAAAGATGGCGTACAATAATCAGAACACGAAACGAATCAAGCCTTCGATCCCAAAGCATCAAGCGAATGAAAAAGACTTGTCATCATAACCCACTGAACATTTGCTGCAGACAACAGCAATAGCATTATTATGAATACAGCAAACTAGCCGTATTCATAATAATGTTAGCGAACAATGTTCCTGATGTCGTTGGTGGTTTTGAACTTTCCATAGATGGATATAGCATCATAATTTCACTTGGTAAAACTTCGAGAGAGTATTGAAATGGACCTTTCTTTCACAGAATTACGGAAAATTCAGGTCCGTATTCCAAAAAGTACTTGAGCTCGGAACACATAAAAAACCACAATATGTAGCATATCATCGAAATCAGTATAAAAAGGAATATTCGAATCTGATATCAAAATATTAGGACCGTATTTGATGAAATGAAGTTGATGATGGTTTCTCAAAGACGAAACGTTGAATCAGAAAATTGATGATGCCAAATTGGAAAGTTGCCATGAAGTAATTTTTTCAGTTTTGTCATAGCTTCATTATTAACTCAAGAAAAAAAGTGAAAATCCAAAACTTATGTTTTTTGGAAAAAACTCAAACACGAAAAGTGATGATCAGAGATTTTTGAAAGCAATTTTGTTGGTCCTTGACTCGCGCAACTTTATTTCCATTTAACCAAATCTTTATCTTTCATAGTTTTCGAGATGCCCATGCTGCGCTCCTTATCAACTTGGGCACAGTGTATAAGAGAAGCTCATTTCGTGGATTTTCAAGTTGTTGTGAATATTGTCAATGGCTACTGATGAGTATCGAGTATATACAGCTAGTGGTTTTGACTACCGTCAAACGGGGTTAAGTGAATAAAAAAATGCGTTTTTTATCGTTTTTTTTTTCGAAAAGTATTGGGTCAAAAAATGTACAAAAAATGTTGGAGGTCCTGGCACCCTTTTCGAATGGATGAAGTCAAAAATAATTTGGAAAGATTAGGGAAAATACCTTAATTTTTGTGCAAAATCTGATTTACTTTACCCACCACTTTGAGGTGAAATGAATCATGTATTAAAAACGCGTGAAAACTCATTTTGAAATACTCAGAGGTAAAGTGAATATTTTTTTTCTTTTTTTTTTTCTTTCGTTGCTTGCATTTGTATAATATATTGTATTCTCGGCATGCTGAAAATAAATCGAATTATTAGAAATTAATGATTGATTCATAGTATAGCAAGATATAACTTAAAAAATATCCAATCCCAAAATATAAACCCCATATTCATATAAATTACAATGATTCATTCAACCCAATATAGTGACCACAAATACTGAAATTTAACTAAAAACATTTGGACGAACATTTTATCAAATGTATGTTCAGTAATAAATATCAAATACATTTAAAGCATGTAAGGAAACGAAATTATAAAATTAGTGCCTCCACAATCAATCGTTTGAAAAGTTTCGTAAAAATAACAAAATCTGTTAGAGCCTAAAGTGTGTTCGTGATACTCTCGTGTTTTTTTAAGGGCGGCGAAACACCCTCCTTCCCTTACTTAGACGTAGGTACTGGCGACGCCACGACTGAGACGCGAAAACGTTTCAATTTTGCAGCTGGAGCAAACAGCGCCCTCTTTTGTACTGAAACACCGTACTGATTCATTTTACCCACTATGGTTCACTTAGCCCCGTTTGACGGTACATCTTAGTGGTACCATCTCTCTTCTGATATTCGGAATACGGAATATGTCCAAAGTCGTTCGATTATGCATTGTAAGTTATTGAAAACTGATCACAGTGTATATTATTTTGTAGCCCAGAGTGAACCTTTATCTGAGGTGAGAGCACTATACCTATATCTGTATCTACCTGTACCTACCATCATTGAATCGGCGTCTCCTCTATCAAAAGACAGATACCTACTTCGAAAAATAAATCAACAATCGCAAAACAATCACAATAATTATACATGATATCCTTATACTTATTGCACAAAAACAACTTATACATTTGTGTTGAGGCAAGATGAGGTACACTTCACAACAGAAACATATCATTGAACGAATATCCACTCAGTAAGACATATTGGACTAGAATATTTTGAGTAAAATTTATGTACAAAAATACCTACAACGCTCACCTATATGAACAAATATTAATCGATCTGTATCGGAGAGGATAAAGTTTTAAATGAATACACAAATTTTCAAACATATTATGATAACCTTCGATTTTAAAACATGATGGAAACTTTTTTTAACGAAATATATGTGGCTGCGTGTAGATTACAACAATAATGCATTGGAATAAGTGCAAATATTTAGAATCCTGAGAGCTTGACGTATACGATCCAATTACACCAATAAAAAAATGTTGATATCGAAATAGAATTTCTAAAGCTCTACACTGTATCAATTCTGACGTCACCTGTGTTCAAATTTCCGTGAGGAAGGCACAATCACGTGAAGTCCAACCATTTAAATTATTTTGAAGTGGCATACTTGATTTTTCACCTGTTTCTCGTTCAATTTTCGGGATGAAATTTCTCGTCAATTAGAGGAATTAAAAAAAATCTCATATTATGAGAATATTCGTTTGACTGAATCATGTCGATGTGCCGAATATGTGTACTTATTTCAAGAACACCTCGTACAAGGTTGTTTGTTATAGTATCCTTTCCACATATTTCAGCTACGGACATCTTGACCTACGAAGAACTCGATTTCTTCTTATTATGACTTATAATAGACCTCGCACCAAGGAATATTGGCAAAAAGGAAGGAGACTATCTTTACAAACAACATAACCCAATCAGCGGAATCTTATTAGGCGCCATTTCTTCAAACTCCTTTACCAAGAAGAAATTTCCTTCCTAGCAAAGTCCAAACACGGTGACAAAATAGTTAAAGTTGCTTAATCATTACTGGGCCAATCGAGATATAGAATTGACGTGAACGAACAACATTATCATTAACTACATTTTCTAAAGAACTTTTGACTGGTATAATAGCGCTCAACTGCACCTGGGTAATGATTTTTTACGGCCCTGGGCCAATATCAGTAGATGCTCAGGAGATTAAACTGTACCCACGTGGACCGTCATGAATATTATGTACCTACTCAATTTGAAATGACAGCCAGTAAGTAGAACAAGATATCTGATGTTATAATACTTAGTAATATCTTCATTAACGTGCTCCGAGTGAAAATAGTAGATTGTTTTATTAGGATCAAAAGTGACACTTTGTTTGACAAGCGAATTTTGCATTTGCGAGGCGGAGCGTTTAGCGAAGCCGAGCGAAAGCAAAATTTGCGAGTCGAACAAAGTTACTTTTGATCCGAATGAAACATGCTATTTTTTCTGCAACCGAAACAATCAACTCAAATGAATATGTGAAGTAACCACCAATGCCGTGCCATATGTACGCAATGCAACAAATAGTGACAAATAATCCGTGTGGTGAGAATATTCTACCTGCATTAACAGCAGGTTTTTTCAATTTTCAAGGATGTTCGAATAGTAGTTTCAATATAAATACAACCACAGAGTGACATATTTGTGTATGGACTAGGTGCTCTAATGGCAAATACCGCGCCAGTGCCAGGTATAGGAACAAGACGTGAAAAATGTTAGGTTAGTGAGCATATCAACATTCAACAATAATAATCGCGATTATTCATTCCTCTCCATACTGTTTGAATTGATAATCAAATGGAGATAAACAATATCGTTGTTTTATACAAAAAACTATTGCTTGCCGTGATTATTCAAAAACAAGTTATCCATCCCGAGAATAACGAATGAAATACAGATCAAGCAAGTATTTGAATCTTGAACGCTTCCCTGATCAAACAAAAATACTTAGCTGAGATGTTTATAATTCCAATACTAATCTATAATAAGGTGTATTTATATCTCCAGCATAGGTATGAGACTCCAAATCTGCTGAAATCGGAAACAAATCAGGTATGCGTCTGAACCCAAATAACCAACCGTCACAATGTTGTTCATTCTTGATGACGTCCAGTACTTCCTTTTTAGTTCCTAGGAGCTAAAGTTCAACTTTAGCTCCTAGGAACTAAAATTCAACTTAAGCTCCTAGGAACTAAATATGTTGCCTAGCAACCTACCTATTTTTGTGTCAGTAATAGAAACGTCAATTTAAGAGCTAATTTTGGTATCAAAATGGACGACTTTTGTGTCGGTTGCAGAAAAAAATATATGAATACAGCCATGATCATTTTTAAGTTGGTCTGATTCAAAATCGAAGAACACTAAGGTTTTAGTTTATTTTCATTCTAATTATTATGAATTGAAGTAATTTTACCGAACTTATCCTCTCAGATACGAAGAAAAATAAAACGACAAATCGAAATAAATAATTAATGCAGTAGAAATGTGTGCTCCAGCAGTCGTAGCTCATATTACTTATATTATTCACTAAATATCAAGTAGGTAGGTATTAACTAAATTCTCGCTTATGTTGGACATATCACTGAAACGAAAAAAACAGAAACTAATTTAATAAGTACAGAAAAATGGCTCTGTCGTCTAGATTGAGATATGACCAAAGGCATGAAATGACATTTTACCAACATAATTAATGGCACAGTACCTATAGACCCTTACGGAAAACAGTAATTTCACTTCTATCCGGCTTCAAATAAATGAATAGCCAATCTACGCACTTACCGTAAAAATATTGAAATCTTTATTTATATAAAAATGAATGTTTGTCGGTATGTCCTTTATACAATCGTAAACGGCTTGACTGATTTCACTAAATTTTTTTTTCTTGTGTTTGTTAATGTCAGGAGAAGGTTCGTGTGAGAGAAATAATTGGAAAATTCAAAATGACGGATCCAATATGGCGAATGAGTTTTGAAACTATGATCCGATTTTGGGTGTTTTCGGGATCGAAGATTATGATTCCTATGTAATTAATTGTGTTTTGAAAAACTAATGAAACATGCTTTCATGAATAGTAAAAGTAAAAAAGTAGAAGATAAATAGTAGTTCAGAAAATTGAAGAGATAGATTAACTGTTTATTTAAATAGTATTCTAGTAAGTAGCGCAGCAACGCGCGCAGGGTACAACTAGTTTGAATTATATAAAAAAAACTGTTTTCAATATATTTTTTTTCGAATGAACATACTGAGAATCGAGAGGGGCAATAAAATATATTCAGATTGAATATGATCATTATGATAACTAAATCTAAAATTATGAAGATTATAAATGTTGCACAACTTTCAACTTTCAATTTTAAATTTGGTGTTTTAGTTTTTGGTTGTGATAACTCTCTATTCATAAACTTCAGGGTATAAAAATCCTTATTCAAATGAACAAACTGTTGAGATAATCCAGTGGAAAATTTTCACAAGGATGTACTGTGAACTTGTTATTACTACCTTTAATCTGATAGCACCATTAGGCTGGACTGAATAATTAGAGAAATGCGAAGCAAATAAACTTTCACATACCCCTAGGTATAAAAAGAAATCATGTTCTTTAAATTTCCATACGTATCTTCAGCAGAATTTTCCTTTGCTCTAAAATGTGAATAAATTCCTCCATCAATCAGTCCTGCTTCTGACTCTGCATAGGCTTCACATACATCACAATTATGTTGCTGGAAACACCAACATAGTAGAATTAATCTCAAAGAAGTGTAAACAAAACACCTGCCCTGCTAGCTGAGCTACTGCGCATACTAGCCACGAGTAGACATGCGTACTGCGATATTTAGGACACGAAAAGTGCTGAAAGAAACCACTGTTTTCCGTAAGGGTCTATACTGTGTTGATGGTGCAAGTTTGTTTGATATTTATATAGGTGAGGCCATTCAAGTGTTCCTACAGCTCGAAAAAGAGATCTTTCAAACTTTGAAACCAATATCTTACCTTTCAGTATATAATCTGTCAATAAAGTGGGCACGGTAGGGCTATCTTCATTGATGGCTTTCAGTACTGAAAACGAATGATTTCATTAGAAACCATGAAATTTCACATGTATCCATAAACCCATACAATGCAAGTGGTTCGTGATACCATATCCATCAGAAATTCTACATACTTAATATAAATTCCCCATGCAATAATAGAGAGTTGAAGTGTTGTCATGAACGTTAACGTAAACGTAGAAATTGACAGCTACGCATGCGCATTTTCCAATTCTTCACGTTTGCGTTGTTAGTGGGCTTACGGGTGTACGTTATCTCACGTTCCTTCACGTATACCTTAAATATCAACGTACGTTAACCAAACTATACTCGAAATATGCCGATGGGTCAAAATTATCAAATTCGAGATCACCAACGAGTTCTGCATCAAGGAGTCCTCTAATTTTGACAGGAATAAATGTTCGAATCTAAACACACAACCAGAAATGACCAATACAAACCGAAAACAAAATGTATTATTACGTTATGATGACAGTGACGACCAAAGTGGCGACTTCAACTCAATTTAACGACAATACGTAAACGTTATTTTTCGTACGTTAACGTCGACGTGGAGGTCTACGTACAGTGATTATTTCAACTCTCTATTATCTATTATTAGGTACCTATCATTAGTTTTCGATCATAAATATAGGAATGTGTCATGATTATCATATTATCAATATGACAAACACAGTGTTTATATAGTATATGCTATGGAATGATCCAATTGAGAGGTTTAGTCATGCATCTTCATGGTATCAGGCAGATCTTCAGTTGCATCTATTATGTCATGTAGATGTAGTTCAATATTATCATCGTGAAGTAATAGCTAAGGCAATATGTTTTCTTTGTTCGATATCTTAATAATAATTTTGAATATCTCAGAATTCCAATAGAACTTCGAACCTACTAGGTGTTTCCCAAATTGGGGCGATCAATGAAATGTATCATAGGAGATGAAAAAACGGAACGAAATAAGAGAGTACATTTTTGTTGAAAAAAGATATTTTGGAAGATATTGAGCTCCAAAGTATGCGTGAAACTATTGTAATAGCCCAACCGAAGCGTTTGCTTTCGGCGAGATCACAAGCATCGGAAGTATCAATGACTTTTGCAATGTTGGCGGCCCTTCAACAATAGTTGAAAAATGTAACATGGTGGCAGCGCACATTTTTTGAAAATATTTCAGAACAACTTTTTCTTGTGATTTATCGTGTTGCTATATCTCATATATCTTCATTTTATTCATCGCCCCAATTTCGGAAACACGAATTTTCACTATGTTTATGAATCAATTATTCACCTGAATTATCGAAATGACAACATGATACTTACTTTTGATTAGGATTTGGAGAGTTTGATTATCTGGAGTTCCACTATCTATATGGTATGGAATAACAGTTGTCAAATACTGCAACAAATGAAATGATTATTATTAATCGAATTATAGTTGATCAAGAGAATAGCAATAGGAACTCAAACTCAATAGACGTTGCGGTTCTCAATGTTCTCTAATTATTTCTCAAGACTCCGTGAAATGAGAGCAATTTTATAAAAGAATTTAATTTGAATGAATTCATTCCTAAACTATAACCTCAAAGACTTAACAATGTTTTATTCGCTTAGGGAAGAGTACCAGATTCCATCAGCCAAATTAAAGTCGTGCAGGAAAATATTGAAGATACTCTATCATACAAAAATGACGGATTCAGAAAATTTTCATTCATAATATATCTAATATGATTAAGTGATGGTCATTGATTCTGCTGCCCCCTTGAGCCCGTGACTTACCTTCGGGTCCAATCCATTCGAATTTTTCATCGCAGAATTTTTCGCGGACCTCTTTTTCTCCACGTGATACTGCCGCCTTTTGTTCTGCACCGCTAACAACAGCGAGATGAAAGTGTTCTTCAGCTCCTTCTCGTACTCCAGTTCGTCTCGCAGGGCCAGTTCTGAGATCAGCGTTTCTGAGAACTCTCTTATCAGCACTTCCAGCTCGAGGAACAGCTCGTTCAGCTGGGATAGGCTCAGGTCACGTAATTCTGAAAAAGAGTACATTATTCATCCATGGGTCTGAATAATTATTTGGGACTGGTGGAAGCAACTATGGATTTCGAATTCAGCTGTGATTCTCTAATCACCGAGTACCCGAATCACTATTTTGTAGGTTAAAGGCTGCGACACAACTGAAGTTTTATGCAATAAGTTTCAAGGTTCAAGATTCAAGATATTTGTAACAAAAATGAAAGCAGGATTCAAAACAGAATCAAAATATTAAATCTGGAATTCCACCAATAAGGTTATTGTTTGAGAGGCGTAGCAGGAACCAGAATATTTTTCGCTTCGCGGTATTTTCTCGGGACATTCCGTAATTTCAGAGTATTATTTTCGGTTATTATGTCGGTATAATCGAAGTTACTATAATCATAAACATGTGGATTGTTTTTATACTCTTTAACAACACCAAGAATTGCTGTGATTGGTTGGGTTCCTAAATTTTAAATCATAGAAACCATCACGTCCGTATCTTGAAACATTAAACTTATTTCCTAATTCATAAATGTGTGTTCTGTCATTCGCCAGAAGGGCATGTGTGCTCATTTTATAAAACTCATATTTTAAATTATAAAACTTAACACTAATTACATGGAACTTCAATTGTGTCGTAGCCTCAATTCTGAATTACAATTGATGATTTCTGAAAATCGACTAATTGTTCTGTAATCGAATCAAATCCCAGATATGCCTGAGAATATGTTGTTTCAAATTTAATCTTTGTTTCGTGAGATTAGTTTACTATACAAATATAGGTGACAGACAAAGTTTGAAAAAAGTTTTGTAAGCTGTATTTTCCAAAAAGACGTTGTCCTATTGAAAGGACAGTAGGAAAATGTGTGACATTCCATAGAACAAAGCGTCTATTATATCAATATTCTAAATATAATATAGAAGGACATTAAACCATCGTGAATATGGAATCAAGTGAAGTATACAGGGTTAGGTAAAAGGTATGGAAGCAGGTAACTTGGTAACCGTTTGTTAGATTTCTTGAATTTATGTACAGGGTGATTTCGAATTAAGGCAGATTTGAAAATGTTATCGACGATGTAGCCACTTCTTCAGTTATCTCGGAATTGTTATTCTCCTTTTTTTAAATGGAACATCCAGTTTTTTTTCAATATTATCCCGGAGAAAATGATCTCATCGATCTATCACACGCTGTATCTTGGGAACAAAGCACTTCCGGACCCACATTGATGGGAACTTTTTTTCATAAAATGATCTGAGGAATCTCGATACATATCGATATTTCGATACATATCGATACCAAAGCATATATACATATATCGATATATCGATATTTTTGCCCAGCCCTACTCTGACTGATAAATGAAAGTTTGTCGTGAATTTTACGACAGGCGCCCGCTGGAAGGTTGAAATGGCGTATTTCCACTTACTGTCCTCGTACAAGGGCGTGCTGAGCACCTCCTTGGCCTTCTCCATGACCTCGCGGCTCTCCAGCCTCGCAGTTCTGGCTTCCTCCTCCTCCTCCGCCTCTTCGTCGTCCTCCTGCATCATGTCGTCGATCTCTCGAATGACCTCGTCGGCCGTCTTGAGAGGCTCGACGTCGTGGGGCGCGCCCGCGGTGCCCAAAATGAGGGCGTGCATGTCAAGGTCACCGGCTACCGCTTCGTCCTCGGAGCTCAGGTCCGGGTCGTCTTCGGGGGTTCGGGGCTCCTAAAATAAATGAATAGAATGGGGCTCCAACAAAAATCATACACCCACCGGCAGAATAATCGATCCACTCCAAATATTGCTAAAATTTGATTAACGGCAACTTCGTTAATTCAAGTCTGATTCGTTCAATTTTTTTTTATTCCGTAGGTAAATTCATAAAGAATCACACACAATGTTGAGATTTTAAGAAATGAGGCATATCTTCAAATTATACAGAGTGACAAAAAAGTGCATTTTTACTTCAATTGTATAATAATCTCTGAAGTGGCTAAGCTGGTAAATCCTGTAAAGTTTCAGTCAATCATCAAGCTACGTTTATTACGAATATTTTCTCTTTTTATTTGTTGGGATAACTGCATTTTTGTGGAAGTTACAAGGGTTTCAGGAGAACGTTACATTTCAACATTTTTTTCTATGGTAATAACAAGGTTCCCCAAGACATTTTTTGCATAGCTGGCTGTGACAGACCTGTCAGTTGACGATTTGTATGCTTGTGTTAATCATCGAATGGTTGAATAAGATATGGATCTTTCTGCAACCCACTCTGCGAGAGCTATTGCTTTGGTGCAGGATGGTAGATCACAATATTATGTGGCCAGAGCTTTGGAAGTTTCAAGATCCAGGGTGCAAAGGGCTGTTGAACGGTTTCGTGAATTTGGTGCATTCACAAGCAGAGGTAATAGTGGTCGGAAAAAATCTACGAATTATCGAGATAACCACTTCATAACGCTCAAAGTTTTGAGAGACAGAAGGCTTACTTCTGTCCAATTGAAAAACTAGAGGAAGTGAGGCAAGTTCAAGTCAGCGATAGAACAATGAGAAGGAGGCTTTTCGATATTGGACTCCGAGCAAGAAGACCTGCAACTGGTCCAGAGTTATTGAGGAATCATCGAGTTAATCGCCTCAGATATGCTAGGGAACACGAATATTAGGGTAATGAACAATGAAGCAATATCCTATTCACCGACGAGTCAAGGTTTTGTCTCAGATCACAGGATGGACGTGAAAGAATTCACAGAAGAACTGGAGAGCGTTTTCTCCCAAACCATTTTTCGACAAGAGAGAGTTACGGAGGCGGTTCGATAATGGTGTGGGGTGGCGTGAGTTTTGAAGCTAAGACGGACTTAGTCATAGTGGAAAGGTGATCTATGACAGCTGATAGGTATATAAGAGACGTTTTAGAACCAAATGTAGTTCCATTTGCGCCGTTCATCGGAGACGATTTCATGCTTATGCATGACAATGCCCGACCGCATGTTGCACGGATTGTGAATGAGTATTTAGCCGATGTTAAACTCCCAGTAATGCATTGGCCTCTTCGAAGCCCCGACTTGAACCCAATTGAACATGTTTGGGGCCACTCAGAAAAATTATTGATTCGCCATACTGAAATCGCAATGTTCAATTCAATTTTCAATCTCACAGATATATTTATCCAATATGTTGCAAAAAAGTTTCTGAAAAGTGTGAGGGTCACATCAGAAGTTTTTGTACAATTATTTTCCTGGTAAAAACAGCATTAGTGGTGTGACAAATACTTGATAGGGTAGGATGGTCATATTCTCAATCGAGGAGCATATAGTTGCCGAATATTGATGAAAAAACACTGATAACATTGAAATTTACCTTCCTGAAAATATTCTATCGTCTATTTGTCATATTCGGGCTCAGAACTGGTCATATTCTCAATCGAGGAGCATACAGTCAAGTTACCGAATATTAATGAAAAAAAAAATGATATTAAGATTCACGTTCCCGAACATATTTAATCGATATTTTTTTCTGAATCAGTGGGTACATAAATTCCTCCAAGTTTATCAGTATGAAAGAAACCTATCATTGTATTTTGTGACACTCTTTGTTGTTATGACGTCTTAATGAAAGAGCACTTTAGAAGTGATGACACGTGGTATTTGAATACTGTTCAATCATGGGCCTACCTGATCTAGATGTAATGCATTTATTTGCAATTTTCTAGCATAAGATTTTGACCAATCTATTGGGAGTATATTTCCAAAATTTCCAGTGAGAGTCCACCACATCCTGAAATGAAAAAAAAAACAGAATTCAGTTACAGATCATCTTCGATAAAAATAGGAACAACATTACAGACAACTTGCTACACTAAACTTTTTCGACACGAAAAGTGTACAACAGAGTATCAGGTAAACCGAGAGGTAAACCATAGATTAACGAGTCGTTAATCTATGGGTAAACCATGGATCATACCTCTAGCTGGTGATGAACAAGAGCATAACCTATCAGAAAACCACTTGACCTTAGTAAAAATCTCAAGGTTTTCGAAATATTGGAACTGTTATATTGTAATAGTTATTTTTCCACCACTAGCTTATGAAACCTACCATTATTTACTCCTTTTCGAGACATTAAGTGTGTTTTTACTACCAAAGTAGTTTTCGTCATTTTATGAACAACTAGTCGATAAAGACAAAGCGACATCTGTTGAAATTAACTCGAATGCACTGTTCTGATCAGAGATTCGCAGGAATGGCACTCGAATCTAGTAGGTATTCATCAATAAATTGTCATACAGAGTGGCCTTTTGAAAACGAAATAGAGGCTCTGTAGGTCGCCAAAATCGGATCATGAAAATACTCTGAAACATGTCAACTAGAGTCCCTGTATATACCTTGTTTAAGGTATATACAGGGACTCTAATGTCAACTACATGTTCGAGGGGGACATCGATCTAAAATATTTTCAGCCCTGAGGCGTTGTCGCTTCTAACGAAAAGAAACAACAACCTTATTATTTCAAATGAAACACCTTGTATTTCAGTGCATTTTTATAATCTCCCCGAAGAGCTGATTTCATCAATGCATCACACTTGAGATCTAGCGGCAATGATTAGAGAGCTATAGGGTGTTCAAAATCGATAATTTTTAACTTTAGGATATTTTTGTGTAGATTCTATTCATCATTGGTCATAGTGGCGCATATAACCCCATCTCAACTTTCGATTGACTATCTACTGACATTTATTTGAAACAAATACAGGGTGGTTCAAGATTTTGAATTCTGATCACCCAGTATCTGTTTCAATCAGTAAAATACATTCTTGTCTGCATTGACTACTTCACCAAGAGAGTGGAAGCGTATGCGATCCCTAATCAGGAGACCGTAACTGTCGCCTATTTCCTAATAAATCAACTTATCAGTCGTTTTGAGGTGCCATTAGAACTTCACTCTGATCAGGGCCGGAACTTTGAGAAGTTAGGAATCAAGAAGACACGAACAACTCCATTGCATCCGCAATCAGATAGCAAGGTGGAGCGAATCATTATCTCTGCAAAGTTGTGGATCAACTCCAACAAGACTGGGACCAACATCTCCCTTCTTTCTGGTGGCCCACATATCTGCAGTACAGGAATCTACAGGGCAGACTCCGGCGAAGTTTCTATTTCCGACCACTGTCAAAAAAGAAGACAACCCCATTCAACTTATGATGCGATTGATTAAATGATATTTCGCAATTATTATCAAGTAAAGGACCCTGCACTTTTAGTACGTAAAATGGTTCTCGGTGAAAATTTCTGAATTTTCAGTATGTTGTAGAATTTGATGAACTGATTGAACCTGCAGAATCGTAAAGTTCTTTGATGAACAGATTCTGAGATACAGGGCGTTGAAGTTACAAATCGGTATTTTTCATTTAATTATTTTCTCGAAATTCAAAGATGCCAAGTACAATTTTCTTCGCTCATATCATTAACGAACCTCCATATTACTCAACATGATTCAGATGGTTCAGATGATGTAATTGTTTACAGAGTGAAACATATAAATATTTCAGTGATGTCTGAAAATTCGATGTAATAATGAAATATCGAAAAAATAATTTAGGCATGCAATATACTATTCTCATTCCATCATGAATCACAATTCATACATTTCATACAGGGTGATTCGAAAAATTGGTGACACCTAAGACCGATTTATTCATACACATCCTGTATATTCGAGTGAATTGTTAACCTTCCAAGATAGCTGATACCGTATGAACATGATTTCGTTGAGATATATAGGGTGATCATGAAGATTTTCGATGATGAAAATGACAAAAAATCGTGTTTTTTGAAATCACCCTGTTATTGATGATTAACTCGGTGAAATTCCCTAATTATTTTTTAATATATTCATCATTCGCTCCTCAACGCTGTCTTGAAAATTCAGTTTCCTATCATGACGGGTGTCATAGTTATTAATTCAGGAACTTACCATTTGCATGAAGAGTTGAAGAGACTTGTTCACTTACATTCGCATAGTGGCCGATATTTTTCACAAATAGTGAAACGTGAGAATGTGGAGACGAAAATAAGTTTAGTATTCATATACAGGGTGAATATTAGAAATTCAATAACAATAGCAGATATATGAATTAAATAATATTAATATAATGTACAGATAGTTAAGCGAATTTCGTTGGTATACAAGCTCTGCCAAAATGAAAAACGAACAATACCTAGGAGATGGGAGAATGATTCGGTCTTTCACGCTTCCATTTCTAATAAGGAGAGTTGAATCCTGGAATCGAAATTCGCCTTACTATCTGTACATTATATTAATATTATTAAATTCATATATCTGCTATTGTTATTGAATTTCTTATGTTCACCCTGTTTATGAATACTGAACTTATTTTCGTCTCCAGATTCTCACGTTTCACTATTTGTGAAGAATATCGGCCACTATGCGAATGTAAGTGAACAAGTCTCTTCAACTCTTCATGCAAATGGTAAGTTCCTGAATTAATAACTATGACACCCGTCATGATAGGAAACTGAATTTTCAAGACAGCGTTGGGGAGCGAATGATGAATATATTAAAAAATAATTAGGGAATTTCACTGAGTTAATCATGAATAACAGGGTGATTTCAAAAAACACGATTTTTTGTCATTTTCATCATCGAAAATCTTCATGATCACCCTATATATCTCAACGAAATCATGTTCATACGGTATCAGCTATCTTGGAAGGTTAACAATTCACTCGAATATACAGGATGTCTATGAATAAATCGGTCTTAGGTGTCACCAATTTTTCGAATCACCCTGTATGAAATGTATGAATTGTGATTCATGATGGAATGAGAATAGTATATTGCATGCCTAAATTATTTTTTCGATATTCCATTATTACATCGAATTTTCAGACATCACTGAAATGTTTATATGTTTCACTCTGTAAACAATTACATCATCTGAACCATCTGAATTATGTTGAGTAATATGGAGGTTCGTTATTGATATGAGCGGAGAAAATTGTACTTGGCATCTTTGAATTTCGAGAAAATAATTAAATGAAAAATACCGATTTGTAACTTCAACGCCCTGTATCTCAGAATCTGTTCATCAAAGAACTTTACGATTCTGCAAGTTCAATCAGTTCATCGAATTCTACAACATACTGAAAATTCAGAAAGTTTCACCGAGAACCATTTTACGTACTAAAAGTGCGGGGTCCTTTACTCAATGGTTTCTAAGGACGAAATAGCCAGAGCCACCTTCGGCTAATTTGAATAAATCGCTCATCCCGCTCGTGTTCAGCGATGCTTATCAAAATGATACAACATGAAATGCGAGCTTATTATTATCTAATACGCCAGGATATCGTGGCGCCTTCTTCCTGCTCCCATCTCTATTTTACTGGCACTACATACGAAATACGAAGTCAGTCGCCTTGATTTGTTCGCTTGCTGCCTTGCTGAATCCCGTAAAGAAGATTATAGACTGTGTTGTTGGTGGGCTGTTTTGTTCGTCGAACAAGTATGTTTGAGCAAAAATGACGCAAAACCGAAGTGTATGCCTTGTTGCTAACGAAAACGACCGTTTTGCAGCCACACACAGACTTGTTCGTCGTACAAAATATACCAACAACGCCCCCTTTGACGCAAGCATTCATTCATCGCCTAGCAACAACCGTGGAAAAAGTGTACTTTTTTCACACTTTTCCGTAATATAATGAAACCGTATTTTGATATTGAAAAATTGTACACTTTAGGTACACAAAATATATTGAAAACGTGCAGTATTTCGGACAGTTGTATGAAAAAAAAAATATATTTTTCAACAAACGTCAAAAATGACAAGGTTCGCGCATTGATAACAAATTGCGAAGTGACACTTTTTTTTTCAGTTTCCTACGTTACCATGATACCTTGCCCAAAACAATGCGCGAAGTAAAACAATGCGCGAAGTATCTACTTCGCGCATTGTTATGTAAAATATATGAGATATTTATATTTTAATTTTATGGTCCTCAATCGAGCAAACATCCACGAAATCATTCATTTCTGAATGTTCAACAATAACTCTGTTTTATCTCTTGGAGCGCACGAAAGGAAATTCTAATTATGTTCGTGGAACACCTCGCGTACCTAGGGAGAACAGGGGGAGGCCTTTGAAGCTAGTTCAACACAATTTTTTATATCAAGCTAAGCATATTTTTACTTTAAAACTATATTTTTTTACGTTTGTTGAAAAAATGTTGTTTGCAACTCGAGCGCGAAATACTTTGGTCATCTCGACTATTTTTCAACTCGGCTACGCCTCGTTAAAAAAATCAGATCTCGATCACCAAAGTAGCATTTCGCGCTCTAGATACAAAAATAAGTATTTCATGTTCTATGCTAGAGGTTTCATGTTGATTTCTATTTTTTATAATAGCAGTCAATTACGGGCTACAAAACAAAAAACGAAAATAAATCTTTCTCGAAAATAAGAATTAACATGAAACGCCCCTCATTATATTGGAACATGAAAATAGTAATTCAATTTTTTTATAAAAGTTCCAATTTCTCGAAAACTTTGGGGTTTGAATGACGCTTGAATCCCCTTCAGAATGTCAATTAGATATGCACCTTTCAACGTCAACAAACATTGGACATCAATCTCCTTATTGAAGGATGAAATGATGAATAATTATGACTTTCACATTTTCTACGCCCATAGTTGTGCAATGCAATAATTGGCTTTGCGTTATACGTATACTCACTAATACGACCATCATAGTATATATAGC